TATTTATAACACGGAGATCATATCCCCCTTATGTATTATACATGGAGATCATATCCCCCTTATGTATTATACATGGAGATCATATCCCCCCTTATGTATTATACATGGAGATCATATCCCCCCCTTATGTATTATACATGGAGATCATATCCCCCCCCCTTATGTATTATACATGGAGATCATATCCCCCCTTATGTATTATACATGGAGATCATATCCCCCTTATGTATTTATACATGGAGATCATATCCCCCTTATGTATTATACATTGGTGATCATATCCCCCCTTATGTATTATACATGGAGATCATATCCCCCCTTATGTATTATACACGGAGATCATATGCCCCCCTTATGTATTATACACGGAGATCATATCCCCCCCTTATGTATTATACATGGAGATCATATCCCCCTTATGTATTATACATGGAAGATCATATCCCCCCTATGTATTATACATGGAGATCATATCCCCCTTATGTATTATACATGGAGATCATATCCCCCCCTTATGTATTATACATGGGAGATCATATCCCCCCCTTATGTATTATACATGGAGATCATCCCCCTTATGTATTTATACATGGAGATCATATCCCCCCCTTATGTATTATACATGGAGATCAAATCCCCCTTATGTATTATACATGGAGATCATATCCCCCCCTTATGTTATTATACATGGAGATCATATCCCCCCTTATGTATAATACATGGAGATCATATCCCCCCTTATGTATTATACATGGAGATCATATCCCCCCTTATGCATTATACATGGAGAACAATCATATCCCCCCTTATGTATTACTACATGGAGATCATATCCCCCCTTATGTATTATACATGGAGATCATATCCCCCTTATGTATTATACATGGAGAATCATATCCCCCCCCTTATGTATTATACACGGAGATCATATTCCCCCTTATGTATTATACATGGAGATAATATCCCCCTTATGTATTATACACGGAGATCATATCCCCCCTTATGTATTATACACGGAGATCATATCCCCCCCTTATGTATTATACACGGAGATCATATCTCCCCTTATGTATTATACACGGAGATCATATCCCCCCTTATGTAATATACAACGGAGATCATATCCCCCCCTTATGTATTATACATGGAGATCATATCCCCCCTTATGTATTATACATGGAGATCATATCCCCCCTTATGTATTATACATGGAGATCATATCCCCCCCTTATGTATTATACATGGAGATCATATCCCCCCCCCTTATGTATTATACATGGAGATCTATATCCCCCCTTATGTATTATACATGGAGACATATCCCCCTTATGTATTATACATGGAGATCATATCCCCCTTATGTATTATACATGGTGATCATATCCCCCCCCCCCCTTATGTATTATACATGGAGATCATATCCCCCCTTATGTATTATACACGGAGATCATATCCCCCTTATGTATTATACACGGAGATCATATCCCCCCTTATGTATTATACATGGAGATCATATTCCCCCTTATGTATTATACATTGGAGATCATATAACCCCCCCCTTATGTATTTATACATGGAGATCATATCCCCCTTATGTATCCCCTTTAAATACATGGAGATCATATCCCCCTTATGTATTATACATGGAGATCATATCCCCCCTTATGTATTATACATGGAGATCATATCCCCCCTTATGTATTTATACATGGAGATCATATCCCCCTTATGTATTATACATGGAGATCATATCCCCCCTATGTATTATACATGGAGATCATATCCCCCTTATGTATTATACATGGAGATCATATCCCCCCCTTATGTATTATACATGAAGATCATATCCCCTTATGTATTATACATGGAAATCATATCCCCCTTATGTAATATACATGGAGATCATATCCCCCTTATGTATTATACATGGAGATCATATCCCCCCTATGTATTTTACACGGAGATCATATCCCCCCCTTATGTATTATACACGGAGATCATATCCCCCCTTATGTAATACACGGAGATCATATCCCCCCTTATGTATTATACACGGAGATCATATCCCCCTTATGTATTATACACGGAGATCATATCCCCCTTATGTATTATACATGGAGATCATATCCCCCCCCTTATGTATTATACATGGAGATCATTTCCCCCCCCCCTTATGTATTATACATGGAGATCATATCCCCCCTTATGTATTTACATGGAGATCATATCCCCCTTATGTATTATACATGGAGATCATATCCCCCTTATGTATTATACACGGAGATCATATTCCCCCTTATGTATTATACACGGAGATCATATTCCCCCTTATGTATTATACACGGAGATAATATCCCCCTTATGTATTATACACGGAGATCATATCCCCCCTTATGTATTATACACGGAGATCATATCCCCCCCTTATGTATTATACACGGAGATCATATCCCCCCCCTTATGTATTATACACGGAGATCATATCTCCCTTTATGTATTATACACGGAGATCATATCCCCCCTTATGTATTATACACGGAGATCATATCCCCCCTTATGTATTATACACGGTGATCATATCCCCCCTTATGTATTATACACGGAGATCATATCCCCCCTTATGTATTATACATGGAGATCATATCCCCCCTTATGTATTATACACGGAGATCATATCCCCCCTATGTATTATACACGGAGATCATATCCCCCCCTTATGTATTATACACGGAGATCATATCTCCCTTATGTATTATACATGGAGATCATATCCCCCCTTATGTATTATACATGGAGATCATATCCCCCCCTTATGTATTATACATGGAGATCATATCCCCCTTATGTATTATACACGGAGATCATATCCCCCCTTATGTATTATACAACGGAGATCATATCTCCCCTTATGTATTATACACGGAGATCATATCCCCCCTTATGTATTATACACGGAGATCATATCCCCCTTATGTATTATACATGGAGATCATATCCCCCCTTATGTATTATACATGGAGATCATATCCCCCTTATGTATTATACATGGAGATCATATCCCCCCCCTCATGTATTATAATGGTGATCAATATCCCCCCTTATGTATTATACATGGAGATCATATCCCCCCTTATGTATTATACATGGAGATCATATCCCCCCCTTATGTATTATACATGGAGATCATATCCCCCCTAATGTATTATACACGGAGATCATATCCCCCCCTTATGTATTATACATGGTGATCATATTCCCCCCTTATGTATTATACATGGAAGATCATATCCCCCCTTATTGTATTATACATGGTGATCATATCCCCCCTTATGTATTATACAGGAGATCATATCCCCCCTTATGTATTATACATGGGGATTCTTATCCCCCTTATGTATTATACATGGAGATCATATCCCCCCCTTATGTATTATACATGGAGATCATATCCCCCCTGTATGTATTTATACATGGAGATCATATCCCCCCCTTATGTATTTATACATGGAGATCATATCATCCCTTATGTATTATACACGGAGATCATATCCCCCTTATGTATTTATACATGGAGATCATATCCCCCCCTGCAACTATATACTCTATGTTGTTACATTACATACTCCTGAACCCCCTGCACTATATACTCTGTTGTACATTACATACTCCTGACCCCCTGCACTATATACTCTTTGTTGTACATTACAATCCTCTTGACCCCTGCACTATATACTCTGTGTTGTACATTCCATACTCCTGACCCCTGCACTATATACTCTATGTTGTACATTACATACCCCTGACCCCTGCACTATATACTCTATGTTGTACATTACTACTCCTGACCCCTGCACTATATACTCTATGTTGTACATTACATACTCCTGACTCCTGCACTATATTTCCTACCAGCTGGACATTTTATATCGGATGATGAGTGGATTGGAGCACAGACTTTTACATGGTGATAATAATGTGATAACATCTCCAACTTTGGACCCTTAAACAGAAAGTGATAATGAGGGAGGAGGTCAATACCCCAATGATGGTGGTCTTCGGGATCAGTCCAGTCTTCATCTTGGTTGTTCTCCCCCCATCCTCACTCTCTGACCTCTGGTGGGGCTCAGCCCCGCTGTTCTTCATGACTAAATCATGGAGTAAATAAGGAAGTGCTGTACTTCTTGTGTTGGAAGATGGTGATGAGTGATAGAGGGGGTGGGGACCCTCGTCCTATAATCCCCCCTCATCACTGTCCCTCCAATAAAAGACAGTTTCTGGGTTGTTTCCTCACTCTTTTGACTAAGGTCCCATGAATAAAGAAATGACCTGGTAGGAGATCAGAGGAGCCATTTCCTAGTTCCTTGAGGGTGGAATTGTAAGCTCCTCAGAGACCAAGCTGCCTGATGTGGGCGGAGTCCTGGTTTGGGGAACCAATCAACTCCTGTCTAGTAATCCTCTTTGTCTTTGTATTTTAGTCCATGGCCGGGAGATGAGGCAAAACCTCCGAGGATTGTCTCACTTTGTCTCCAGACTGGGAAAGTAGAAGGATGAGGACATCACACAGTATAGTCCAGGAGAAAACCCGGCTCCCTCCAATGTCCATCCGGCACCACCCAGTGTTAGATGGACCATCGGTTTCCTCGTATCCTGAGGAACCTCAGACTGTGCGGGACCAGGCTGGCCTTCTAACAGAGAAGAGATTCTCCTGTACTGAGTGCGGGAAGGAAATGTTTCCATTGTAAATTCCATCTTGATGAGCATAACAGATCTCACTCAGGTGAAAACCATATTCCTGTCCTGAGTGCGGGAAGAGTTTACGTTATAAATGCAGTCTTAATAGGCTAATAAAAGATCTCACAGGGAGGGGAAGCCGCATTCCTGTCCTGAGTGCGGGAAATGTTTTACATATAAGTGCAATCTTTACAAACATCAGACATCTCACACAGGGGAGAAGCCGTATTCCTGTTCTGAGTGTGGGAAATGTTTTTCACTCAAAGTCAATGCTTTACATACATCAAGATCTCACACGGGGGAGAAGCCGTATTCCTGTTTTGAGTGTGGGAAATGTTTTTCAGTGAAATCCTATCTTTACAAAACATCAGAGATTTTCACACAGGCGAGAAGCCATATTCCTGTCCCCTGAGTGCGGGAAATGTTTTTCAGTGAAATCCAGTCTTAACACACATCAGAGATCGCACACAGGGAGAAGCCGTATTCCTGTCCTGAGTGTGGGAAAATGCTTTTTGGCGATTTCCAATCTTCATACTCATAAGAGATGTCATTCGGAGAGAAGTCCGTATTCTTGCTCTGAGTGCGGGAAATGTTTTTTAGATAAGTCCGGTCTTTCCAAACATCAGAGATCTCACACGGGAGAGAAGCCATATTTCTGTTTCTGAGTGCGGGAAATGTTTTTTAGATAAGTCCGGTCTTTCTAAACATCAGAGATCTCACACGGGGAGAAGCCGTATTCCTGCTCTCAGTGTTGGAAATGTTTTTCATTGAAGCCCATTCTTTCCAAACATCAGAGATCTCACACAGGGGAGAAGCCATATTCCTGTCCTGAGTGTGGGAAATGTTTTTCACAGAAGTCCCATCTTTCCAAACATCAGAGATCTCACACGGGGGAGAAGCCGTATTCTTGCTCTGAGTGTGGGAATGTTTTTCATTGAAGTCCAGTTTTTACAGACATCAGAGATCTCACATGGGGGGAGAAGCCGTATTCCTGTCCCTGAGTGTGGGAAATGTTTTTTCACAGAAGTCCAATCTTTCCAAACATCAGCGATCTCACACGGGGGGGAGAAAGCCGTAGTCCTGTCCTGAGTGAGGGAAATGTTCCCTCACTGAAGTCCTGTCTTCCTGTACATCAGGGGTCCCACACAACCCTGGAGGTATATTAGTGCCTTGAGTGCGTGAAATGTCTTTCTAGATGAATGTTGCTGGACATCCCAGCTCTCATGTGGGGAAAAGCCACACCCTGATATTCACTCAGATATATACTCCATGGCTGATCTTCATCATGGAAGAAACAGTTCATAAGGAGATCAGAGGCCCCCAAAGACATGGATGAAGTGTGGGACTGGCATGGCCCATTGATGGCAGCAGAAGAATAACAATAGAGTCCTGACCTAGAGCACTGGGCTGACTTTTCATTGGGGTGCAGCCTATATGTTTAGAGATGGTTTGCACGTAAATGGAAGGGGGTCTGCTGTGCTGGGGGAGGGGTTTATGGGAAGGCTGGAGGAGTATATAAACTAGGATGGATGGGGAGGGAGAATTTGATTATAACGGGGTAGACAGATCAGACAGGTCAGTACTTATTGGTGGTGGAATGGGGAAAGATGGGGGGAGGGCTATGACAGATGATAAGAAGGTTCCATGTTACAAACAACCAGTGGAATTGGTACCATTTGTATGAAAATAAAAAATACACAAAAATCCGTATGAATAAGGCGTATGTGAAATGAACAAGGTGTCAGTGAATGAACGAGGTGTCAGTGAATGAACAAGGAGCCGGTGAATGGACAAGGTGTCGGTGAATGAACAAGGTGTCGGTGAATGGACAAGGTGTCGGTGAATGAACAAGGTGTCAGTGAATGGACAAGGTATCAGTGAATGAAGTGTTTGTTCCCCAATGCCAGAAGTCTGCCTAGCACAATAGGTGAGTTGGAAGGTTTGGTGCATGAAGAGAACTAGGGATTGGATTGGTATTGCTGAATCTTGGCTTCATTCCTCACATGACTGGGCCATTCATATTCCTGGCTAGGTTCTCTTTCGGAGAGACGGGGGGAAATAGGAAGGAGGTGGTGTCTGTCTGGAATAGGAAAGGGGGTGGAGTCTGGAACAGGAAAAGGGGGGGTGGAGTCTGTCTCTATGTGAGAAGTGATCTCAGAGTGAGTGTGAAAGAGGACCTAGTTGATGGAGAGTGTGATGAGGCTGAAGTATTATGGGTGGAGCTGCACATGGGGGGCGGTACTACAAAAGGTCATCATTGGAGTTTGTTATAGGCCTCCCAGTGTTAATGAGGAGGTGGAGACTCAGCTCCTCCCACAGATGGAAAGGGCTGGGACAGTGATAATAATGGGGGATGGTAACGATCCGGAAAGTGACTGGAGTAATGGTACTGCGGGTGTAAACACAAAACAACCCCTCCTGCCTTCTGTGGCCCAGAACAAGGGTGGATAGATGGACCCGAACTTGAAGAAATTCCCCACCAAGGCATCAAAGGTTGTGCGGCTCTAAACAAGGCTGGGGAAGTCCGACCAATACTGCAAAGTGAAACAAAAAGCGCACCAACCTTGCGCATTACCTCAGTAAAATGTGATTTTATTGGAAGTGAAAAATCTCCTCACAAACAGAGAATGTATAAGTGATTTTAAGGACTAATAAATATGTCCGGTGCTTATCTGTTCCTGTCCTAATTTATGACGCTAGCTTTGGAAGGTGCGCACATTGGAAGAGACTCACGCTGACACACAAGTTCAGTCTATGAACACTTCTAGGTTTATTATAATGAGAAAGTGAGCTTATATATATGCAGAATGAATGCGAGAGTCATTGTGACAACGCATAAGCATTATATAGTCTTTGACCTTTGGTCACTTTTACACGAAAACAATCTCCGTCATGGGTATTAGGTGTGATCTTCTTCCAGGCCTTATCTTATAGAGAAGAAAAACATTCCTTTGTCTTCCAAATCACACGGTGGGAGGGGGTCTGTGTGTGTGAGCAGACATTTCTTAAGCAAGGATTTCTTATGTACCACAACAAAGCCCAGCAGGCAGAAAATATTCACACAACATATATATTAAAGTATAAAAGTAAATATTTATTAAACACTTATAGAAATAGCGTATATATAATATATATTCAATAGGAAACGAAATAGGCATTTTACCAAATCCATCACAGAGCCACAAGGGATTCCTTGCCACGTGTGAGCAGAAAGGAGCTGTTCTTTAGAATGGTAATAGTGCAGTTTTGCCAATTATTCTCCCAAGGGGGACCACTTGAATTGATGAGGAGCCCGGGTCCCTGTAGACCCTGTGTCCATTTTCCAGATGCTCAGTTGGGATGGAGGGTGCCAGATCTTGAAAAGGAGCAGCTACCTTGGACTGTACATCTGTGATGGTCTCTAGCATCTGTGGATGAGAAGGTTAGAGCACCAGGCCCTATTCTTGATGTCCTCCAGGCAAGACTGTAGGATAAGATTTTCCTCTCTGAGGGCCTCAAGCTCATCTGTATGGTTGTGAACAAAGGGTGTCCAGCTCCATGGATGGTCTCTAGCATCCTGTGGATGAGAAGGTTTAGAGCACCAGGCCCTATTCTTGAAGTCCTCCAGGCAAGACTGTAGGATGAGATTTTCCTCTCTGAGGGCCTCCAAGCTCATCTGTATGGTTGTGAACAAGGGTGTCCAGATCATCAACCCGTATCTGGAGTTCAGCTGTGCCCTGTCCTAGCTCTCTGATTTTCCCAGGATAGCCAGTCTGTAATTTGTTCTGAGGTTGCCTTCAGAGCCTTTGTGAGCATCCTGCACAAGTTGCTTAAGCAAGTCAAGGGTGAGTGGGATCTGATTGAAAAAGCCAGGGAGAGGTTCCCAGATCAGTATCAGACTCTTGGAATAGATCTTTGTGAGAACCTCCCAGATGGATTTCAACTCTGGGTTTCTGTGTGAAGGCGGCGTACACCATCCTGGATTGTCTGACACCAGCTGTCAGGAACCATCGCGACGCATGGGTCTACACATGCGTAGGTGTCTGCAGAGACGTATAGGTGGCAGGGCACTTAGGACCCAGGCGCACCCGTTGTCTTGGACAGTACTAGGCCAGGGCACTGGGACCCAGGCTACGCCTGTCAGGGTGCAGGGCGGGCTATTAAAAACTAGCCCTGCACAGACACTTGTTGCCGAATGGTCTTTGTATCCTGTTACCTGTGTGTGAGTACTTCTGATCTGGATTGTTTTGACCTTGTTGCACTTCTCCCATCGAACCCCTTGGCTTACCTGACTCTGCTCCTGGATGTTCCCGTTTAGATCTGACCTCCTGGTATTGACCCTGCAGTGTGACCGACTATCCTTTGCCTATCGTTTTGTACCTTAATCCGATCTGCTAGTTACCGACCCGGCCTGCATGACTCTGGATTTAGCTCATCCATCCACCCACCCGCAGGGATCACTAGGCTCCCTCACATCAGACTCCTAGCTCTCTGGAGCCCCTGTCAGACTCCTGCTACCCTGTTGGAGATACCTGGTAGTTGCGACCTGGTACCAGAGCGCTCCACCCCCCCCCCCCCCAAGTCCATCCCCACCATCAGGGGCCCTGGTGAACAAGTGGCTCCGGTGCTTAGACTCCGCACTCCCTGGGGAGGCTCTACGGGGGACTGATAGAGGTGCTGTTCAGGCGGTCTGTTACACCAGCTCTGGGGTGTCAGGAGGCAGCCGGTGAGCTGTGCCAAGACAAGCAATAGATGTGAGCGGCTGAGTGTACTCACTGAGCGGTGCGGAGCCTCATGTAGGGACATGTCTGGTCCAGAGGGCCTTGTGCATGCGCCTACCGAGATAGATAGATATTTTTTATGCTTTCGGATTCATTTGGGATTTTCTTACACCAAAAAGATAAATTTATAAGGGGTTATCAGTTTCATTAGGTATACCTTTGTTTCTAAACTTGTGTCCTATGTCCTCAAGGAACTTTTCTATATGTAATACATCATTTATATTAGTAGGTTACATAAAAGCTACATTTTATTTTTCTAACTTTTTTAAAATTTCTTCAATCTTTCGTAGTAGCCAAAGGAATGGCTAATTATAATATTATATTATAATTTTGGGGTGGAAATGTGTCTAGACGCCGTCTATGTACAGTGGGGATTGAAAGTTTGGGCACCCCCAGCTTAAAAAATGTGTATTAATGTGCATAAAGAAGCCAAGAAAAGATGGAAAAATCTCCAAAAGGCATCAAATTACAGATTAGACATTCTTTATAATATGTCAAACAAAAAGTTAGATTTTATTTCCATCATTTTACACTTTCAAAATAACATAAAACCAAAAAAATAAAAAAAAAAAAATGGCGTCTGCAAAAGTTTGGGCACCCTGCAGAATTTATAGGCATGCACTGCCCCTTTGCCAAGCTGGAGACCTGCCAGTGTCATGGATTGTTCTCAATCATCGTCTGCGAAGACCAGGTGATGTCAATCTCACAGGTTTTAAATGCCCAGACTCATCTGACCTTGCCCCAACAATCAGCACCATGGCTTCTTCTAAGCAGTTGTCTAGAAAACTGAAACTGAAAATAGTTGACGCTCACAAAGGGAGAAGGCTATAAGAAGATAGCAAAAGCGTTTTTCAGATGTCAATATCTCTCTTTCGGATTGTAAATTAAGAAATGGCAGTCATCAGGAACAGTGGAAGTTAAAGCAAAGATCTGGAAGACCAAGAAAAATATCAGACCGAACAGCTCACAGGATTGTGAGAAAAACAATTCAAAACCACGTTTGACTGCCACGATCCCTCCAGAAAGATCTGGCAGACACTGGAGTTGTGGTACACTATTCCACTATAAAGGAGATACTTGTACAAATATGGTCTTCATGGAAGAGTCATCAGAAGAAAAACCTCTTCTACGTCCTCAACACAAAAATCATCGTTTTGAAACTTTGCAAATGAACATAT